GGCTAAGTCTTCAGTTTAATAGCATCTGTCATTTTTCTGAGCTTGTATTTCTAAAAGTGGACTGAGCCAATAACATACTCCACAAACCTCTAAAAAGACTTAAGTATTTCACAATTTTTTATACTATTTTATAGGTCAAATTCAATTTATCTTAGCATCTTATCGGACACAGAAGCTGTGAGAAAAAAACATTTACTTAAAAAGCTTTCCATTAGTCACTTTCAATATTTTTCAAACAAACTAATAATTGGATCATGCTTCCCAGAACTCCATGCTTTTTGGTCATTCTGTTCTCACTGCATGTTTTACCTGTTAAAGATATATTTTATCTCAGCCTCTGGAAAGGAATCCCCAGCAGCTGAAAGAGCAAGTTGAAAAAGAGAGTGTAGATGGAGGAGGTGAGAAATAGAGATGGAAAGGGAAATGTAGTTCAAACACAGGACAATCCTTCTTCTGAACATTATTTTTTACTCAATAGAAGCTTGTGATCTAATGCCAGCATCAGCTGATTTTTCCCTAAACACTAAAACTGTAAATGTTAACAGCTGCTGCTATATTGAGAACAACCATTCAACATATTTCTGAGAATCTGTATTAGCACACCAGGCCAGAACCCAACCTCAAAGAATAATTCTGGAAGCATTTTTTAAAAAAGACAAAAACTGGCAGTCAGCTGATAGCAAGTGAAGAACGATCCACTTCCAAATTAGTATTCAGCAGAAAATAAGAGACACAAACTGCAGAACTAGAGGAGTTCTTAAGATAAGTGACATTAAGTGTTTGCAATGCAAATACACCAGTGTAGCCAAGTAGTCCCAGGTGTTGGATTAAGGCTCCAATCTCTTCTGGTACATGGGTTCAACTTCTACCACTGCCGGGGTTATTTTAACAATTGGATTAGAGGATCTTAAAGGTCTCTTTTCAACCTAAATGATTCTGTGATTCTATGATGCTAAGCCTTAACTTCTACCAGAATACATGTCACGAACTTTGCGATAAAGCGGCATGTAATAACCTGAAGAAAGAAAACTATCAGAATCTGGCAGTATTAAATCAGCATTCCGATAGCTGGAACATGGTGAGTTCCTCGAGGCCTATGAAAGCTCAGTCATGTTTCAAGGCACTTCATGTAGTTTATACTTTGCATAACTTTAGTTGTAAACAAACTTCTGTTTCTAAAAAATTTAGTCTACTCTCAGTTCTGTTATCTTCACTTAAAATTACTGTGTCACATAGCATTCTAAAACCAGTGTGACAAGCAGACTAAGTTATCAAAGAAGCACTTTTTATGCAGAGCTAACTGCAGGGCATATGCATAAGAAATTCATAAACTAAGCAGTGCAACTTGAATATCAGATGACTGCATGTACATAAGCCTAGTATCAGTATTTGTGTGACTATCTCCTTGTTACCAAGAGTGTCTCCAGGCCCTTACTGGTCATTGAAGAAAGAAAAACAGCTGCAGTGTCTCTCCCTGCTTTGGTCTCACACATATCCTGTGACTAATCCAGTGACCTGCTCTCTTCCAGTTGCCAGTCTTCAAAATTAATTATCAATATGTGGGAAACTGGGAGAAAAAGAACTAAGTATTCTCTTCAAAAATATGTACTGTTACATATTCTTGCAAGTTTTAAACGAGTTTCACTTTCAACCCAAATGATAGAGGAAAAAAAATTAGAGAAAAGAAGCAAAAGCGATCAAAAGAATCTTCCCCCTAGGAACATCTGAACAGCATAAGAACTTCAGTCTAGACAAAGATAAAGGTGTCTGAAAAGAGAGGTATGAAAAGGATGATTAGGGATCACATGGTTCTCACATCTTTCAACGCAAAAACAAAAAAATTTATAATGAGTAGCTTTCAGAACATCGCTTCATGTGACATTATTACATTGTGGAACTCAGCCAGAGCAGACTGTGATTGCCAAAAGCCTACAGACATTCAAGAGAAGACAAGAGGCACAGAATAGGCCTCTAAGTAATGAAATATGCAGGGACAAACTGCTACACAAATGCCTGGCCATTATACTTTCATATGAAATGACTTTGGAAATCTGTCTTGTTTTGGCCAATCTGAGCTGGTTTAAGGGATAAGGAATCCACTGAGCACTGATGTCAGAACAACTAAGGGAGTGAAGACAGCCAGAAAGTTATGGTCAATGGTTCTATAGCTAAGTGGAGGCTGATGACAAGTGATGTCCCTCAGTGCTGTCTTGGGATTGATGCTCTTCAGCACCTTCACCAATAACACAGCCAACAGGAATGACTGCTCCCTAAGCAAGCTTGTCTATGACACCAAGCTGAGTGGTGCAAGTGACACACCTGAAGGATGGAATGCCATCCACAGGAAGCTGAACAAGCTCAAGAAAAGGGTCCACAAGAACCTCATTAGCTTCAACAAAATCAAGAGCAAGGTGCTGTACCTGGGTCAGGGCAATCCCAGACAGGAGCATAAACTGAGAGCAGCCGTGTGGAGGAAGACAGGGGTGCAGATCAGACATGACCTAGCAATGTGCACTCACAGCCCACAAAGCCAACTGTGTCCTGGGCTGCATCCAAAGCAGTGTGGCCAGTGGGGAAAGGGAGGGGATTCTCCCCCTTTGCTCTGCTGAGACCTCACCTGCAGTGCAGCATCCAGCTCTGGGATCCCCAGCAAGGACTTGTTTCAGCAAGCCCACAGTAGGGCCACTAAGATCACCAGAGGTGCTGGACCACCTCTCCTACAAAAACACACTGAGAAAGTTGGGATTGTTCAGCCTGGAAAAGAGAAGGATCATCACTTCAGCCTTCCAGTACTTAAAAGGAGTTGATAAAAAAGCAGAGAGAATCCTGTGTAGAATGCAAGACTCAGGATAGAATGCAAGCCAAATGTTTCTCACGGGAGTTTGGAGGAGAGGGCAGTAGTGGGAGGTGGGAGGGGTTTTTTGTGGTTTCAGTGGGGTTTTTTCAGTGAAAGGTTTGCAGATTAGAAATATCTAAAACAGGTATGGTCATTCTTGGCAAAAAGACTAACTCAAATATTCCTGATTTTCTACCCATTTGAAGTATACACAGAAAAGCCAGTCAAATTTTTGCACAACTTTGTTTGCCCAATGCTTCATTCTGTTATTAATTAACTGTTTATAGAAATCGATTTTCTTTTTTTAGAGCTCATTGATATAAAAACCAATGCTTCCTACTCTACGGAGCTGTAGGATTTTTCTTGTCTCGCTTTCTGATAAACACATCTTCTTCCACATAAACCATGCTGGAGAGAAAAATCTCTAAGGTTCATGGTATCAGAGACCTCACTACTGTGCAAACTCATAATGTCTACAGTGAGGTACAGGAGTTCTTTAGCTGCAGTCAGAAACCATCAATCTTAATATGCACTCTCAGGAGACTACAATTATCCAGTTATGGTAGGCAAACATTTTTACAATGTCATAATATTAGTAAATATTCATTTGGGACTACATTACTAATCAGCAGAAATGACAGAACATTGTGATCATCTGTGAACTATCTAGGAAATAAATACTATTCATCAGCAAAATATTTCTAAGGTCTTTCAGCACACAAATACTTTTTCAGAGAAACTTGCAGTTTCTTCCCTGGAAAGAAGAAATTTCACTCAGGAAGAAGTTTGAATGGTTTGTGATCACAGACTAACTGTTGAGAACATTTTGATACTATCAGCTCACCAGAGAAAAGGAGGAATCAGTCATGTAACAAAAAAATTGCATCTCCACCTATCAGGTAACAGACAAAACCCAACCTAAACAATGAAGATAAGCTTTTTTGTTAAATACAACGTACAATTAAAGACTTTCTACCACAGGATATTTAGAGGGCTAAAAACCAGCAAGTGAAGTTCAATAAGGAACGTGATATTAAGAGACAGCCACATGACTGCAAATGCATTTCAGAGAACGAGCAAGAACAGTAATTGGTGCAACATTAGGAATCGATTCTCAAGTTACAACACACACCTTACTTCAATGAGAATATGCACTCACAGCCTAGTTTTAAAAAGCACAAAAGATATGTGATCATCCTTTCCAGTAATGTTTAGAGTGTATGTTACAATTTTAAAATATTATTGCCTGTCAGTAAGGAAAAAAGTCACAGCAATACTAAATCCATACCTGTTGTGTTGGAAAACAAGACTATGAATACCTCACAAATTCCATTTCCCATGAACTTTCTAATCTGGAAATACAGAACCTACTGATTGGATTATTCAGTTATGCTTGTATTCATAAATATTTGCAGAATTTCATCATATCCCAGGACTTGTGCTTGAACTATGAACTTACAAACGCTGAAGGCAAGAAAAGAACTCCAAGTTCATAAGAACGGATCATCAGTTGGCTGCCATTTTTCTCCAGAGCTCCCCAGGCTGCTTTAGATAGATTGGCACTGTGCAGAGAAACAAAGCATATTAGTGAGGTACAATCTTCAGGGCAGAAAACATTTAAATAACACAGTGTAGCAACATCCTTCCAGAAGAAGAACTTAAATTCAGTCAGAATAGTCTTCTTACACAAAGTGACTTGGATGTTATTCCTTATTGCTATTTTTACAGCACAGTGGGAACAACAGAGACAATATGTAGAAAGGCATTCATACAACACATGTGGATAATTATACAAGCCTATTTCTGTCATACTCATCTACAAGACAAATTCAGCCTTTTGAATCTTCTCTGCACATTTCAGAAAGGAATTTGGTACTGGTAAAGAGCTTAAATTTGATGACTTAAAAGGCTAGGTCAATTATGACTAGTTACAATACATTTAGTACAGAGTGGGTTTGCATTTTGCATTTTAGTACAGAATGTTACAAAATCTTTTGCTCTTGGCATTTTCTTTGATCTATTTATGAAAACAAATACTTATCAAAGAGGTTGTTTCAATTTCCTATTCAGCACCATGCTGTGGTTAACCTTTCATCAGTATCTACTACAAAGTAGACCAATTTGGGAGTAAAAAAAATATATGCAATTCTCTTGTCAAAACCTACTTCTACAGCACAATACAAAATCTACATATTATGTTTCAATTGATGGACATAGTGGATGCTGTTTGGTAATAGCAAATGGTGGAACAGAAGAAACATGAGAAGAAAATAAAGCAACCATGAATTTCTGTATTAGGTGGAGTGAGCATCACATTTATATGACTTAGAACCTTTTAAAAAGCACATTAATCACTACCACTATTGCAGGCAACAGTAGCAATGAGTAATGAAATTTAAAGAGACCAAATATAAAGAGAAAAAAATATTAAAGTAACTGAGCATTTAAGAGTAAGGACAGATCATAATCTGTAGAATATAGGGCTGCATAAAAATCAGTTTTGGCAGAAATGAAACATATCTGCATTTTTGCATTTTTTGTTCCTAACAGGACATTCTCCCTCCAAGACAAATTTCTTGCTTCCTCTTTTGGCTTCTTTAACAATTAAACCACAGAAATATAAAGCTTATACTTCAAGGGAGACTACTAAACAACTCAATCTGACAAAAGATCATATTCCAAATTGTAGGTACTTGTATGTTTTATAACAGTAGGGCAGCCCAATGATAACTTCAGCTAACTCAAACTGTACCTATTTTGTAGAAACCAGTACATTCATACCATACCACACCACAACATATCTTAAAGAATCTTAACCCACAATTTAAGAATATTTATCATTTCAGTTGGTGGTGAACCCCAAAACTGGCAGTCACAATTCAGACAAGATTTTAGTGTAATTACCAAGAGTTCCTGACAATCAGTTCAATCTGCAGCCTCAAATGGGGCAATGCAATGGAGAAATCTTAAATATGGACAAAAATTCTTATTACTAATTCAAGTATTATGAGTGTTATGGAAGGGCCTGCAGCTGACCAAAAC